CATGAATATAAACATTAACCAGAAATTGTCAAATACGTAATGTAGGCAACAAAAAAAAAATTTGAAAGCAAACAAAAATATTACTAGAATTCAAAGAGACCCCAAGGCCCATCAAAGAACTTTAATATATGGTGTAGCCCTACGGGTTTGAACACCAAACCTCTAGGCCAAATCCTTAAGCCTTACCACTAGACTATTGCCCTAAAGTATTTAATACAATCAAAATATGTATACATATTGAATGAACAGATCCGAATTTTACAGTTTCAAACATGTTAACTCCTAATTCTTAAGCAAATTAAATTAAACTTAATTATTGAATTTTACAGTTTCAAACATGTTAACTCCTAATTCTTAAGCAAATTAAATTAAACTTAATTATTGATTTGATTATCATTATACCAAGATCTTAGAACAAATGATTTTCACGATGAGCAATTAATTAAGAAAAAGAAAAATCATAAGTTCTACAATCAAGCTCTGATACCAAATGTTAAAATTAAAATTACTAAAGTTATCTAAACATGATAGAAATTCAAATACTTGATCAAAACATGTTTGGAAACTGAAAATATAAACTACATCAAACGTAAGCGTAATTGATTAAACTAACCTCCAGCCATCGTTGTCTTACTCAAGGATATGGATGTTGATTTCGAAGATCTTCTAAACCTTATCTCTTCACTAAACGATGGTGTATTTTTCTTTCAAAAATTGAAGAGCAGGTATAGGGACCCGATATATATGTATTAAATAGAATTAGTGGGCAAAGTGGTTGATGTGGATGTGACGTGAGTGGGGACCACGGACTGAGGCTAAGGCTTGAAAACACACGTGAAGCCTAAGTGAAAAGATAAAGCAAGCCAATCACATGGGGGCCAGCAACCTTGTGACATGATTTCTTCACGCGTGAATTGATAAGATCCAGTGGGTTTCAAGTAAGATCCAGCGGATTTCGAGTTCAATTATGCTATGGACTCTCGACTATAAATAGGAACCCTATTTTTAGCCTAGTTTCTGGTGCAATTGCGAAGGCTGAGGGGAAAGCGGCAGCAAGGCAGAGAAGCACGAGACTTTTGGCGGCTGATTTTTGGGTGCATGTGAGCAGCTGATTCATGTGCGAAGGCAGCGGGCAAAAAGGCGTGTGCAAGAGGTTTTGTTGGCGGCTATTTACAGAGAAAAAGAACAGAGTTAGTTGTTTCTTTGTAGAGAGAGATTAAGAAGGATTTGAGAGTTTGTTTGAGAGGGTTTAGGTTGTGTGATTGTAAACCCTATTTGTATTCTCTCCATCTACTAGAAAATCTCTCTCCTCCTTGCCCTGTGGACGTAGGCAATTTGCTGAACCACGTAAAATTAGTTTGTCTCGCTTTTGTGTGATTTGTAATAGCTTATTTAGGTTCCCTCGCTCTGCCGAAATTTCCGCTGCGCACAACAAGTGGTATCAGAGCCCAGATTCCAGATCTAGGGTTTGGTTGGAGGAGTAGATCAATTTGGAGGCTCGTTTAGGGCTTCGTTGGTGATAAAGGTGGGATCTTTTTTGGTAAAGACTCTATCTTTTTAGTTTTGGATCTATTCTTCGTTCGTTGGTGCGTAAGATGTCGGGGAAAGAAGGTGCTTCGGGAGTCGAGGGTGGTTCTTCTGGCGTGAAGACTATTCAGAGTTTGAATATCCACTCTATGAAGATAGATGTGGAGAAATTTAATGGCACAAACAACTTTGGATTATGGAGATGCGAGGTTTTGGATGCGCTGAACGCGCAGAATTTGGAGGATACCTTGGAGTTAGATGGCAAGCCAGATGAGATTGAAGAGAAGGTTTGGAAGAAGATGAATCGAACGGCGTGTGGTGTGATTAGGTCTTGTTTGACTCAAGATCTAAAATATGATGTGATGAATGAGACTTCTGCGAAGAAGATTTGGGAGATTCTCGAAAGCAAGTATTTGACCAAGAGTGTTGAGAACCGCTTGCATTTGAAGAGGAGACTTTATCGTTTCCAGTTGAAGAAGGGAACCTCCATTAGAGATCACATGAACCACTACACAAAGCTTCTTGCGGATTTGGCGAATGTGGATGTCAAGATTGAAGATGAGGACAAGGCGTTGCTGTTGTTGAGTTCCTTGCCCGACGAGGAATATGAGACCTTCGTTCTTACTCTGATTAATGGGAAGGCATCACTTTCGTATAGTGAAGTCACCGCTGCAGTCCTTACTCTTATTAATGGGAAGGCAACCCTTTCGTATAGTGAGGTCACCGCTGCACTTGTGAATTATCAGCTTCGAAAGAAGGATAAGGAGGCTTCAGTTGAGTCGGTAGCGGAGGATTGGAAGTCACAGTCTAGAGTAGGAAAAGATCAGTGTGCTTGGTGCAAGGAGACTGGTCATTGGAAGAAAGACTGCCCAAAGCTCGACGAATGGATGAAGAATAAGCAGAAGGGGAAAGGGAAGCAGCCATCATCAGAAGCAAATATCGTATCAGATGGTAATAATTCTGACTCTTCTATTTATTCGCTTTCTATCAGTCCTACAGATAGCTATTCGGAGGAATCTGAATGGATGTTGGATAGTGGTGCGACCTATCATGTGTGCCCTAGAAGGGAATGGTTCTCCAGTTTTGAGAAGCTGGTGGATAGCGGTATGATGTACATGGCTGATAACCATGCATGCTAGATCCTTGGGATAGGAAGAATTCGCATAAAAATATTTGACGGGACTGTTAGAGAGATAAATGATGTGAGATATGTTCCTTCTTTGAGGAAGAACTTGATCTCGATTGGAGCTTTGGTTGGAGAGGGTCTGAAGGTTCGTGTTGAGGACATGGTTCTCGAGATTGCGAGAGACTCTCGTATTTTGATGAAGGGCGTCAGGAGAAATAACCTGTATTACTTGACTGGAGGTATAGTAACAGGTGGAGAGCTGGCGACTTCTGTTGATTCGACTAGACTGCGGCATTTGGGGCTTGGCCATTCCAGTATTGATTCCTCGCATAGATTGAAAGAGGGTGCAAAGACCTGCAGTTTGAAGTCCAGTGAACATGTTGATGTGAGCAAGAAGACCGAGGTGAAGTGTGGCACCTCTATTCACCGTGCTAAGGGTCGTTCTAAAGGAGTTCACGTGGATGTTTGGGGGCCTTCCAAGGGGACATCATTGGGAGGTAATAGGCGTTTGGTTTCCTTTGTTGGTGGCTGTTCTAGGCGTGTTTGGGTTGCAACCAAATCCCCTTTGGAGAAAGTCCTAGTAGTATCCATCAAATTGAAGAAGTGTGTAATAGACAGAAAGGTGAAGGTACTCTATTCTGGTGGGAGGTACAAGATGGACCTATTTCTGTATTGGAGCCGAGCTCACGATATTTCGAGACACTTCGTTGGAAAGGAAATCTTGGGGCAACTAGATAGGGTGGCAAATTTGGAGAACCGTGCCTTACTGGAGGAGGATCGGTGTTTGTGGTCGAGCAATGGTTTGCAGAAGAGTTTTTGGACTGAGGCTTCGACATATTTGGGTCATCCTATTAAAGAGTTGTCAACTGCTGTGATTGGAGGTAAAACTCCATTGGAAGATAGGTCCGGTAGTGTCACTTTGGTTGAGGCTTCGGTGAGGAAGCTAATTGACTCTCAGCAGGTGGAGAGTTTTGGACAGACCTTAGAGGTATCGCAGCGGGTGGAGATGGATGCTACTCCACATCGGGTTAAGATTACTCCAGATCATTCTGCATTGGTTGGGATTCCAGCTGAGGTGACACAGCGTGGAAGTCATTTGGATTCGGATGCAGATGATGAGTTGGGTTTTGATTCGAATGCAGCTGACAGACATAGTTTAGATATGGCCATTGGTTCACCTCGGGTGAAGGTGTTTGAGGCCATTGGAGGTGCTATCATCCACAGAGTTGATGATATTGGAGAAGGGTTGCGAACTCTTCTATTGGTTTGAGGTCGTTCGCGGCCATTTAGGTGAACTACGTTCGGCTTGATTCCTTGAGCAAGAGGATACGTAGGCAGTCTTTATGATGCAGCCGGGTTGGATTTTGATGGGGGTGAGACCGATTTGGTGAGTTGATATCGATATTTGGAGAGTGTTTGCACTCTCATTTGGGTTCTCGACTTGTTATGGATTGAGTCCGTTGTCGTGAATTGTTTCACTTCGTACTGGACACAACAAGTGAGACATTTGGTTTAGTTGGTGTCGGTTCAGTTTTGTAAAAACTTTACCGAGGTGGAGAATTGTGGATGTGACGTGAGTGGGGACCACGGACTGAGGCTAAGGCTGAGGCTAAGGCTTGAAAACACACGTGAAGCCTAAGTGAAAAAATAAAGCAAGCCAATCACATGGGGGCCAGCAACCTTGTGACATGATTTCTTCACGCGTGAATTGATAAGATCCAGTGGGTTTCAAGTAAGATCCAGCGGATTTCGAGTTCAATTATGCTATGGACTCTCGGCTATAAATAGGAACCCTATTTTTAGCCTAGTTTCTGGTGCAATTGCGAAGGCTGAGGGGAAAGCGGCAGCAAGGCAGAGAAGCACGAGACTTTTGGCGGCTGATTTTTGGGTGCATGTGAGCAGCTGATTCATGTGCGAAGGCAGCGGGCAAAAAGGCGTGTGCAAGAGGTTTTCCCTCTATTAGTAGATCCCCCTCCTTGCCCCGTGGACGTAGGCAGCTTGCCGAACCACGTAAAATTAGTTGTTTGAGTTTGTGGCTATTGTAATAGTTTTTAGGATCCCTCGACAGGTCAGTCCTAGAACTGATGACAGGAAGAGCCGATATCTCACTTTGTTGAGATATCCACTTCAGATTCTTGTCTCCTTAGTGAGACGGGAATTCTTATTAATCTTTCTCTCTTATTGTGCACCAGAAACTCTGCCGAAATTTCCGCTGCGCACAACAGTTGATTAAGTCATAACCAACTCTCTTGATGATGGGAAGTTATTGGACCACTTTGTGGCAACCGAAACCAACACAACTCCCATAAAGTTGATTAAAAGAGTTCATACAAACCTGTGTAGGCAATCTTCATCCCAAATAGAACTCTCAAAAGATTACTTGTTATTACACTACTCGACCATATTAAAGACTATCTTTGTCCATAATATCCAACGTATAACATGCTTCATCTACATCAACTTTTTGTAGTAGACTGCTGCCCTCTGTTGCTCTATAAGCTCGAACAAGCTCCCGTCGAACATTCGCCTGACGACCTCCCTCGAAAGATAACCCTCTTCATCCCTGGCGAGCACATACAATACTATCCATTCCAGCTTGTTAGCGATCCTACGAAACACGTATCAAGGATTATCATCATCAATAAACCTCAAACATGCTCGCATTTCTTAGGAAAAAATGTAGCTAAATCGCAAGATAATTAACGTCCTCAGGTACATTTTCACCCCTTTATAACTCATGAAGGGGTATTTTGCAATTTGTTCTTGTCCAAGTGTTAATAGAAAAGAGATAAGATTAACATGTCAAAAATTTAAGCTTACCATCCAAAGAAATCGTAAGTTACCCGGTTGCCCTCGGTCATATTCCACATCTCCGCAAAGGATAGTTTATCAGGCACAGTCCTTGCATATTTACTGAATATGTTCTCCAAATTCACGGGTATATACCTAATTTATAGGAAAAACACAACTTTCAAATTGATTAGTCACGCCTAATGTTTCTATGAGTTAATTGGAAATAGACATTGTTACTCTGAGAGATTAACTACTTTAATTATTACGCTTAACTAATTTTTTTAATTAGTAGCATTTTGACCACTTATTTCAAGATGAAGTTACTTCGCAACAAACGCATACTGCAGATCGATATTCGCTCGTGTTTTCATCTGCGTGCAATTTTACGCGCACTGTCGATGCACGTTAAGAAGTTACCTTCCCTCGGTGTCGAAAGTACCAGAATCACTCCCGTGCTTGGCCTTGTGTATGTTAGCGATGTAGACCGGAAGCAAGGGCGAAGGAATCCAACTCTACATAGAAATCCAAATGGTGAGACCACAGTATAAATAAATGATCATTAGTCATACCATAAGCTCAAACATATGTAGTTGTTTCATAAGGTTAATTCAATTAGCTGACCGGGAGAGTCGGATAGCTCAAAACTCCATTAATGAGTACGGCCAAGACCAAAGAAATGATCGGGTTGAAGCCAAGAGCTCGGAATCCTGAAAAAAGAATTCACCTTAATGAATAGTGTTCGGAAATGCAGGGAATAATTAGGACAAGGAGGAGGAAAATCTAATTATGGGTGGTTCAGGTTGTAGCATATTGTATATACCTTCATAGGTTTCCCACGGATAGACGACGCCATCGGAGTTCCTGTCGAAAAAGGCGACGTGCTGCTGGAGAACACTCATGTTGTCGGGGTCGTGGTCCGTGGAACCTGCTGGATTGTAGACGTCGGGTGCCGCCAATGCTCGAGCCATGTCTGTGCAAAGAAACATGCATGATATATAACATGGATAATTCGATTTCATTCTTATAAAAACCATGTTATTTGCCTAAGTTTGAGAAGGGAAAAAATTAAAAAGCAAAAAAATAAAAATAAATAACAATTGGGATGTAGCTCGATAGAAGAGTACCAACATGCATCAGTAATGTCCATATAAAGGACAAATTTTCAAAACAGACTTGTTTTGAAATTTATTGCCAAAAACAGACCTGTTTCCAATTTAATTTAAAAAACCGACCCAGTTAACTGAAACTGGGTCGGTTTTTGAAAAAAAATTCACGGGAGTTCAACTCCCATGAAGTTTTGTTATGAGAAAAAACTTCACGGGAGTTCTAACTCCCGTGAAGTTTGTGAACTTTTTTTTTTAAAAAACGACCCAGTTTCAGTCAACTGGGTCGGTTTTTAAAATTAAGTTGGAAACAAGTCTTTTTTTGGGAATAAATTTCAAAACCGGTCTATTTTGAAATTGTTGGCCTTCTTATTTTGATGATGATTTACAAACAATTTACATCTAATATTGTTTGTCTAGTGTTTGTGTTTTATATTGATTCTAGGCAAACAATATGTTGGAGGATGGATGGAATAGAGCTTCAACGATCATATCCAAAGGAGGTTGGCGGAATGTCGGTGAAGCTTATGCAAATTCAAGTTGAAGATCCAAGTTCAAGCTTCATCCGCAAGATTACCAAGTTGAGCTACAATGAAGATCAAGATCAATGCTTGGGTAATTTTAGTTTAGGTGTTATATTATGTGTGTTAGATACTCTAAGCTCAATATCGTATACACACACACTTATTGGTTTCTTCGTATATATATATATATATATATATATATATACATAAGTTTTGGTTTCTATGCATATATATAGTTATATATATACATAGACATAGTTTTTGAGTTTTCATGTTTGTAATATGAAATCATATATTTCATATTTACTATTGTGTTTTTGAAACATTGCATAGAATATGCAATTTTGTGAAAATATTGTATTCTTAGTTTGTAGACTTGAATATTAGGTTATACATGTTTTACTAAGTATATAAAAACATTTCACAAAGTTTCAAAAGTTGGTTTATGTCAAACATCAAAATTCAAGTATCTCATATTTTCATGTTTTGGACTATTTTGTAAAATGATTGATATTTTCATTTGGGAGTCCTTTTGATAACCAGTCGCTGTAGGCATGTTTATTATCATGTCTACAATAATTCTCCAAAAGTTTTACATTTTTTTGGAATTTTATTTGATATTTTTAAATAGTGTTTTAAATCAGCATATCAATTTTCTGCTATGCAGTTTTCGGTCGACCGCACGGTCGACCGATCATTTGTTCATTTCTTACCCATGGACAGAGAGTCTGTCGGTTCGACCGGTCCGGTCGACCAAAAGCTCCATCGGTCGATCCCGCAACGGCGGTCGACCGACGATGGTCCAGAGCCATTCTTCGTGTTTTTGCTCTCTGTCGGTCGACCGACGAAATTTCCGGTCGACCGACTATATGACCGTTGCTTTTTTCAACGGCTATTTTCTGAGCGTTTGCTGGGGCTGTTTTGTCTTTTTGCTTGGGGTTTTTGGCTGAGTTTGAGAGGGTATAAATACCCCATTGCTGTCATCTTTCAAGTGGTCAAGAGAATGGTTTAAAAAGTTTTTAACAAGGGTTTAAACTTGCTTAGTGTTTGTTTAAGTTTGTTTTAAGAAGCTTTTAAGCATTAGAGTGTTTTGGTTTTGTGATTCAATTCAACAAGAGCTTGCGGAGATCATCTATTGGTGTTTGGGCATCCAACTCTTCTCCCTCCACTCTTGATATATTGAGAAGTTTTCTAAACTCTATTTCTAGCTCTTTTATATATTTGATTATCATTGTTATTAAGCTAGAACTACTTTTGAGTTTAGTTTTGATTTATATCTCTTTGTTCACACACAACCTTTTGAGCTTATTGTATTTACATTCATAGTATAATTTGGGGTTGTGGGTTTGTGACTAAGAGTTGTGCTTAATTGAGTTCTCACTTTGTTTTGAGAACAATCATTTGTCATATATGTGCTTATTGTGAGAATCACTTTGTAATACACTTGTACACCGAGTGAGGAGTGTGTGGTGAGAGTCGGGGATCGTCCCAAGAGGAGTGGCGTCGGTTGACGTGCCTAGGGAGAGGTTGTAACCGAGCACTTGAGGGAGACACGGCTAGGTCCAACACTTAGTGGGTGGAGAGGGTGATTGCAAGAGTGTGAGTTGTAGAGTTTTCGGTTAGCTAGAAAACCGAGTGTGTAGAAGAAGTTCCGGCTTCCAAACCGGATTGTGTTAGTGGATTTCTCCCCGGGAGTGGGGAGCGGAGACGTAGGACGGAAGGTCCGAACTCCGTGATCATATTGCTTGTTTGAGTTTGTCTTTGGCGTAATTGTTTTTGCATTTATCTTATATCGCCAATTGTGCATTACTCATCCTTTTTGTGATCCACTATCTAGTTTATATTGTTTACCCTTGTGTTAGTTTATATATCCTTGCATATATATTTTGCTATATATCTCTTTGCTAGGATATATCATATTGTATATTGCTTATCCTAGCTCATATATATTATTGCATTTCATACTTGCTAGGATAACTTGTTAATTAGTTTTAATTGATATTTAATCGGATTAGATTAGCATAAGACCCTAATCACCCCCCTCTAGGGTCTAACAGAAATTTCCTCCTCCATATAAATCAAGTTAAGGATATGGACTGAAGGAACAAGTTTCAGGATCGGGGAAGTTAATAGCTGATCACTTGTTTTGCTGACCGTGAAATATTTGTAAATTTTATTAAAAACACCACAATTTTGTGATTGCACTGCCTCAATTTTGATCAGGGTAATTTTAAAAGGGTTAACTGCAAATAGACCACCTTTATTACCACCCTATAGTTCTATTTGCTCGAATAGATATTGGGCACCTCTTTAGCAAACTTTTTCGACTCTTTTAAAAGCCTAAAATAAAAAATAAAGCAACTGAGGTCCATCCTCACCAATATAAAAAGTGTGAGGGGTCTTTCTGTCTACTTTAAACAATTTTAAGAGAGAAAAAAAAAACACTCAGGAGGTCTACTCGCACAAATTGAAACTACTGCAGGTCTACTCATAATTAACCCATTTTAAAAAGTATTAATGATTTGGAGTATATTAATAATTGATTTCCGAGTACAGTCACGTAAATCTCAACATAAGAAATAGGAAGCAACTAAAAAAGTTTCTTTATTAGGACTAAAATCTAGAATTTAAGCACATAACTTTTCACATTAATCCACCCTCAACTCTCCGAGTTAATTAAAAGGTGAACTTGCAAAGCTCAACTACTCAACCCACATAACTTTTTTCACTATGTAATTTTCAACTAATTAAAAAAGAATAATTAGAGAACAAACTAATCAAACTAATCAAAAGAAATTAGGGAAAAAAAAAACAAACTATAAACAAAAGAAAACGAGTAGTGGTAACCCACAAGGCTTAGGGAAATGGTCTTCAAGGTCTCCCCTAACCCTCCTCTCCGCCGTTACCGGCGCCTCCCCGGCCACCGTCGACAAGGAATCTCCCCGGTCCGTCATCCTCTCTCTCTCTCTCTCTCTCTCAAAGAGATGAACTTAATTAATTTTGGTGTATTATGTTTATTTATAGCTAGAGAAGGCCAAAAAAAGGAGTAGTAGGGAGAAAAATGTGACACGGGTTCGAGTCCAGTGCATAACGTGTAGCGCTGCTCGTTTGAGCGGTTACATGCAAAACTCCTTTGAAACCTCCGCTCTTTTTTGGGTAAATTTCACAAAACCTCCTTAAGTCTGGGCTTTTGTCAAAAAACACCCTTAACTTTTAAGACGTCCAACACCCCCTCTCCCTTTTAGGTTTGGGGTTCTCAGAAAAAACCTCTTCAACTTTCATCATTTCCAAAAAAAAAAAAAAAAACGTGAACTGCAATTTTCAGCGGCGAAAATATCACCAGCCATGTGAAAAATGCGGCTAATGTCATTAGAAGGGTTTTTTTTTTTTTTAAATTTTAATAAATGTCAAAAATTGAAGAGTTTAAATTTTCAACAACTCCAAAACACAAGGAGGTTTCGTGACATTTTTAAAGTCAAGAGGGGTTATCTGAGAAACGGCGAAACTCAATGGAGTCTTCCATTCTAACAGGCTGAGTTTGGCTGCTCTCGCACAGAGGGCGGTGGATTTCAATAGAATCCACCTGAAGTTTCCTTCTACTTCAATGTGAAGCTAAGCAAGTGGTGTAACGTACGACAATAGATTGTCATCCGTTCTCATCATTTTAAGCTGTTGATACAACAAAAGAGATTTCGACATATATTGCTAATAAAATTCTTAAGGGGGAAAAAAATAATATATCGAATAGTTCTACAGAGAAATGTGAACTTAAGGCCAACAACAATCATCATGATCTGAAAATAACCCAACATATATTTCACAAGATGGGAGATTTTCAGCGCACCGTGCAACAAGGAAAGCCCGTAACAGTTCATCAAAGCTAAAAACATCCCAAAATATGTACATCCAACCTTCAGGCTATTGCTTCCTTAGTCAACATAGAAGATTAGAGAATATCAAACTAATATTTAACCAAAGTTCACTGCTTTGCTAAGAACATATATCATTATCACCTTCCACCTTTCTCTGAACCGAAGACTTTTTTTCTGATTCCTTTATTCTACTGTCATCTTTCTTTCTCTAAATTATATTAACATCCTTCTCTAAGCTTTTCTGTAACTGTAACCGTAAGTATTGCTGTATTATCAGTAGCTTTCGTCTTTTTTTTTTCCGGTAACTCGTGCGTCTGGATAAATTTTGTATGGAAATTGAGACGGAAACTGATTTTTTTTTTCCTTTTTGGGTCTCTCTACTACTACTAGTAACCTTCTATTTACTAGTAAGTAATCTTTTGTTTGCTTCTCTGAATCTCTACACGACTGCAGAAATGCTGCTATCTATCGGTGGAGGCGCAAAGGGGCTCTCTGGAAGATCAATTTGACTGCTGCAATTCAAACCAAAAGAACCCAATCAATCCTATCTTCAAAAAAAAAAAAAAAAAAGGAGGAAAAGTTAAACAAATAATGTAATTTTTTGAGGAAAATGATATAATTTTTCTACTTCAAAGACTGTAGAGGCAGCGATTAGAAATGCAATTAAGGCTTCAAGTTGAAATTTAATACACGATGAAAAGGTTTTAGCAAACAGGGTTAATTACAGATACGATCCTGTACTATGGTTGTGTAGTCACTTATACCCCTAAACTTTAGAATGACCTTCACAAAATCTATAGTAAAGGTAAGAGTTCTATCAAAGAATTTCCATAACTTTTCTCTAAAATGAAAAGAACTCAACAAAGAGGAACTTCGTTGGCTAGTGGGAATAATAGTGATGTAAGGTGCAAAGGGGACATGTGCAGGTCCAAGCCATACTGGTGTAAAGAGTAATGCCCTCTCTTAAATGGGGATGGAGCACTTTTATCCTATAGAAAAAGCTCTCATTGCTTGTTGGCTTCAATGTAGATGCTTGAAGAAGATCATAGAATATTACTACTTATTGAATAGTTAAAGTAAATTTAAAAGAAAAAGGCTAACAGAAAGAAGCTTTAGTGTCACATTTTTCTTACACAAGGGGTTAAGTCTGGGAATATCCATTACACAAAAAGTAAATGTGCCGAGAAGAAACTAAGGCATAATACTGATTGTCTAGGGTGCAGCAAAGACAAATGAAGAAAATGAAGGACTCATCAAAACTGAAAATAAGATGTTGTTCCACGTTACAAACTAGTTTAATTCAAGCGTAAAAGTGAAATGTTTTTAACATACAGTCTATATAATAAATAATGACATGCTATACTTTCCAAATTACCTCTCCTGATCACTGTAACTGTTACTCTCCCTAGCTTTGCCATCACTTGTTGAGCTGCTATTCAATGCATCAAGGGTGTAACCGAAATGATCTTCCAAGGGGAACTCATCAAGACCTAAATAATAGCCGTTGAGATAAGAAATAACCATAACAAAGATAGGAGGTAATGAAATTCTATACAAAACGACTGGGAAAATATGCCACTTAGGACCTTCTGGAAGCTTCAATTCTTCTGGAGTGAAATAGGGCTGTTGATTGACTGGCTTCTGTATTAAGTTTAACTCAGATAGACGTCTTCTCTCAAGCTCAAGCATTTTTCCACGTTCCTCTATCAAGTGTTTCTTCAGTAAACTTGAAGTCCCAGACTCCCTTGACACTGAATTTTTTTTTGGGAGGGGGGATATAACATCAGCTTATTCTTTAACTTAAACTAAAATAATATCGTATGAGTTAAACATTAAGATTCAGTGAATTTCAACTCACTTGAATGGATCTCCTGATCCGCATCAAAGTAGTGAGAAGGGTAATACAAGGAAGACTTTATTTTCTCCATGTAGTTCCTGTTAACTCATCAAAATCAATATTAAGCACAAAGACTCAAGAACCTACTTTTATTTCTACAACGACTTTCATATACATTCTTTTCAGTAAACTTTACACGGAGGAAATGATGCAATTACGTAATTCAAGACCTTCATTGAACTAGAAGTTAGATGTATCTGTATTTACTTGCATCAAATTTCATATGGTACTAAGCTTGTTTTAAGTATGTAGTCATAAAGTTCACATGGATAGAAATATATATGCCACAGATACCCTGCAACTTGGAAGAATTCTTCTACTATCAAGTTAGCATTTGATATATTAATCTGAATCATTTTCCTATGGTAAGATATGCATGTGTTCGTGCACGCACGCAAAGAGGTATAGCAAAGAGGTAGTATACGGTAAACTTTACACGGAGGAAATGATGCAATTAGGTAATTCAAGACCTTCATTGAACTAGAATTTAGATATATCTGTATTTACTTACATCAAATTTCATATGGTACTAAGCATGTTTTAAGTATGTAGTCATAAAGTTCACATGGATAGAAATATATATGCCACAGATACCCTGCAAGTAGGAAGAATTCTTCTACTATCAAGTTAGCATTTGATATATTAATCTGAATAATTTTACTATGGTAAGATATGCATGTGTTCATGCACGCGCGCAAAGAGGTAGTATAGCAAAGAGGTAGTATACGATAATCTGTAGAACTACACAGAATGAGCAGGTTTAATATATAATGTACTAATTTGAAATATATTAAAAGAATTGCAAGTTCTAACTTATAGCTGTACAGGAATAAGTTTAATAGGAAAATGTTATGGTCCAACTCATAGCTGACCAATATTAGACAAAGGGAAAATAAAAGAGAACTGATACAGTATAATACCTGTCAAAGACCCTTGATTTTTCCCTATATGGCTTAACCAATACACGAGCTCCACAGATGTAATGTGGATTCCTCTTCATCAAAATCATGTTAACCGTCTCTGGATAGATGAAGCTCACAAAACCAAACATCCTTTTCTCTTGTGAAGGAATCCTCACATCACGAACAGGACCATATTGCCTGAATAACATCATAAAAGCAATTGCATGCATAAATGACAAATGAAGTAAGGAATCCTAACCATTAAGCTATCAAACACGTGATGCAACCATTAAAACATCCCATACTTGAAGTAGTTGGAGACATCCTCCTCAGTGAACATGCTCTCTGCAGGAAAAGTAAGATAAATCTGATGAGAACTTGTCGCACC